GTGTGGTCTGACAATATGGTGCATGAGTCCCTGATCTACAGCCTTCCCCTGCCCCACCTCCAGTCTGCTTAACAACCCCCCAGAGCCCAGACTTGCCCCCAAGGCCCAAGAGCTGAGCAGGGCTCTGGTCAGGCTAAGCAGGGGGCAGCTCAGTAATCAAGGTCAGGACCAATCCAGGAGTGTAGGCTCAGGCTTCCTAAGTCTACTAGCTATAAGCCAAGGGGTCCCAGGGAGCCCCAAAAGGAGTAGCTCTAACTCCTCCCTCCCCTTCCTTCTCTCCCCTCTGTGGCTCCAGACCTTCCTTTGGCCCTGTAATCTAGAGGGCACAGAGCTGAGCAGACATCTCAGTCCCTTCAAAGCCAACCCCAGAAACAGAGGTGGGTCCCAAGTAGTGGGTCATCAGGAAAGGCAGGAATGCCCTGGAACTGAAACCTGCAGGTCAATCAGTGTCCTCTCCTTATCTACAGTCTCTTGGTGTTTCCCGTACCCCTCTACAACCAATCGTGAGAATGACACTGGACTGTGTAGCCTTTTGTTCTGTTGCGTATGGGGTAGCCAGGAGTTTGGGGCCCACTCAATGGCAACTGACAACATTTTATCACGGGCTCTGTGTCCATCTCCCCCGTGGCTGGAGCTGGTCTATGCTCACCATCTGTAGTTCAGTGCCTGGCACGCAGCTGTTGCTGGGTGCCACTGAGCCGATTCTGACTGATGGTGACCCCGTGTGTAGAGGAGAACCGCCCCATAGGGTTTTCTTAGCTATAATCTTAATGGAACCAAATCTCCAGGTCTGTCTCCCCTGGAGTCGCTGAGTGGGTTTCAAACTACCAACCTGTAGGTAAGCAGCTGAGTGCTTAATCATTGTGCCACCAGGGCACATAGTAGGTGCTCAATAAATGTTTTTTGACTGACTGCATGATCCCAGGGGCTCCAGAAAGGGCTTCAGAGAAGAAGTAACATGTGACCTGAAGCTTCACAGATGAGTCACAATCTCAGGAGAGAACACAAAGTACAAAAGCGGGAGGATGTGACAGAGTTTGGGGGGTGGGGGCTACTCACCAAGCACCACTGAGACCTACAGGTAACTGGAGAGGAGCAGACACAGGCACAGGCCCCCAGCTCTGTACCCAGAGCAACCTGGGGCTCAGCCTTCAGAGCCACCCCCTGGCCCAGCCGCCAACCTCTAACCCCAGGGGTCCCACCCACTGTTGCCACAATAGGTCTGACCCTAGGAGCTCTCCAAGGTCCTGACCTCCCATCTGCCAGGGTGAACCCCACTGTGCCAGGGTTTTCAGAGGCTCCCTGCCCCTTATCCTGGGCTCCATGCCAACTACCAGGGGCCACTCTGATCTCTGGTTTGGGGGCCCCAGAACCTACCCAGACTGACCAAAACCATGGAGGGCCTTCCCCTAATCCACAAATCCATCTTGAGCTGCTCCCAAAGACATGTCACATACTCCAAGGAAAGGAGCATCATCCCAGATCCTGGGTAACAGAGACATGGGCAAGCGCCTGGGCTCAGGAGCCCTGCATCCACATCTGAGTTGCCAAGTGTGACCCCTTGGCTCCCCACCACTGTCAGGCAAGTTCCCAGGATATTCAGCTGGGGGTTTCTGGGCAAAGGAATCACTTCCAAAATCCTCAGACCCTCTGGGCTTCTGTGGTGCCCAAATCTGCCCAGCAACAGCCAAGTCTCCCCGAAAGCTGGGTGAGAGCAACCAAGAGACAGAACTCTGGCTTGTTGAAAGGAAAAGGGCGACAATAAGTCTTGCCCAGCTGTGGCTCTGACCACACCTCCAGAGGCTGCAGCCAAGGGGAATTTTCTTTCCCACTGTGGCTACAGCAAACCCTGCCAGCCACAAATTCCTCTCCACCAACGAGGAAGAGGAATGATTGTCCAGAAAAACCCTTTTGGCTCGACCCTCATTTTCGTGGCCCAATTAATAACACAAAAGGCAAAAAGACACAGAGAGGACTCTCTGAGATTAAGTGGAAAAGGTGCCCAGGATTTAGACAAAGACAGATCTGGGTAAGGGTTCCAAATCTACCACTTAGGAGTCTCTGGGCCTCAGTTTCATCACCTGTGAAATGGGGATGATACTTCTAGATGCTGGGTGTTCTGTGGGAAGGCAATGGGGAGTTTGTCTGACAGGCAGGCCCTGAGAACGGCTTGTTGTTATTGTGTGTGAATGTGACAGCACTCCAACCTCCGCTTCTGTCAACACATCTCTCCCCCTATGCCTCTGCCCCTCCTGCCTCCCTCTTACAAGGACCCACCTGAATAATCCAGGATAACCCTCCCATCTCAAGGTCCTTAACACCATCCCACCTGCTCAGTCCCTTCTGCCAGTGAAGGTGACAGACACAGACTGTAAAGATTAGGATGTGACATTGTATAAGGGCTATCATTCAGCCCACCACCCCAGTGTGGCCACCTCTTGTGAACCCCACTCCCCCTTGACCTACAGGTTCCCCAAACTCACCAACCATTTTTCCACCTCAGGGCCTTTGCACCTGCTGCTCCTGCCTATAATGCCCTTCCTTCCCTGGCATTCTTAGGGTTGACTCTTCGTGTCACTCAGATGTTGGCTTACATGTCATCTCCACAGAGAAGCCTTCCCTTCCCTTAAAGTCTCAGCCAGCCACCCCCTCATTCTGTCAACCACTCCCTTGGAATGCCCTAGGCACCTCTGTGCATAAGCTGATATTCCCTCGTTCACTTATTTCCCTACTATTCTCACAACAGTGTGCCCTCCCTGAGGACAGGGTCCTGCTGCCTCACTCACTGCTGCACCTGATGCCCAGTGTGGAGCAAGGCAGACCGTAGGCACGCAACATCTTGCCTCAAAGGCCTGAAAACTCTCCCTTCTTCTTCCTCAGTTTCACTTCTGTTTGCTTTTTTTTTTTTTTTTTTTTTATCACTTCGCACATACCAGAATACGAGCAGTCGAGCAAGTACAGAAGTTCAGACGTGTGCTCTTTTGATCACTTCCCACTCGAGGGAGGAAGAAAGAGCCCAGACTTGTAGTTCCTTTCAGGGAAAAGAAGGAAATGACCCACAGGGCCTGGGCCCAGTGAGGCTAGAGCAAGGGTCATGCCTGTCACCTCCTGAGTCAGGACCAGCTTCCTGACCAGGACTCCCAACCTCCGCATTCTCTGCTCCAAGCCTTTGTCCACCGCCATCCTCCTGCCTAAACATCTGCCCCTCCTACATCCTACCTCAAAGAGATCCAGGTACCTTCCAATGTGACTCGCTCGTTTATGACTGAGGAAAATGAGGCTCAGGGGAAGAAGGGCCTCTCCATAGGCACATGGCACCTGCATTCTGGGGGCCTGTTCAAGCATTTCTTCCCCACCCACCCGTGGGGTCCTACTTCCTCCTGGGCCAGAGGCCAATCCAGAGGGTGAAGGCCTGGATGCTAAGGTCAGCGGGCTCAGTGCAGACACCCTCAGCTCTCACTGAGGCCACTGGCGCCAGCAGTTCAGGGGAAATGTTACACGAGTTTAGAAACGCCTGTGATGCACAGAAATCCAGCCTACTTCTCAGGGACAGCTGGGGCAGGAGTGCCCATCCGGCACCCACGGGCCGCTGTCTCCGGCAGGCACAAGCCCTGGTCCTTGCTCCCACCCACTTGTCTTCTTCCCCAGCACCATCCCAGGAGCTACAGGTCAGTGACACAGGGATCCAGGATGCATGGACTGATAGGGTCAGGGCTGAGAGGGCACAGAGACGGCCAAGGTCACGGCCTCCAGGCCCTGTAAGGCAGAGGGGAAAACCTTGTTCCTGGAATTCAGGATGACACTGGCCCTGGTCACTGGGGGACCCCAGATCCTGCCCCAGGCTGAGCCCAAGCCCCAGGTCTGGCTCCCAGGGCACACAGTCTGTCCAGCTCACAAGGGCCCCATACTTGCTTTAATGCTCTGCTATCTCATCTTGAACCTTAATTGTTGTGACAAGGCCCCATATTTTTACTTTGCACTGGGCCCTGCAAGTTCGGAAGCTAGTCCTGAGCGCCCAGGCCCTCTCACCCTTACCCCACCCCTCCTGGGCAGATTCACGTGCCTGTAATGCTGGGCACCACGTTCAGCACCTGCCTGGGCCCACTGGTTGCTGTAGGTGCCACCCTTGCCCTTCTGACAGCTCCTAAACTGACCACTTCTGGTGACTCCACGTTAAGATATCTAAATTCTGAGCATCCAAAGAAAGCTGCCATGGGCGTTTTCAGGATGGCTAGGGAGGCATTTATATTCAAAGGGGGCCTTTTAAGTCCCACTCCAATGGTAGCTGCTAAGGCAAGGGAAGGAGGTAGGAAACAGCATAAACTTGGGAACCAGACAGACTTGGTTCAAATCCTGGCTCTGCTTCTTGCAGATCTTGGGTGATCTCAAGAACGTTACTAAACATCTCTGTTCCTCAGCTCATCTATAAAATGAGGGTTCCATTTGCACCCACCTCAAGGGCTGTTGGGTGGATTCAATGAGGTAACACTGTGCTTGACATGGAGTCAGGCAAACAATAACTATTCAATATTAACATTAGCCTTTGAAGTCAGACAGACTAGGGTTCCACTCTCAGCCCTACCAAGTATTTTAGTGTGAACTGAACCTCTCTGTGCCTTGGTTTTCTCACCTGTAAACTGAGGATAACCTGAGGGCCTACTGCACAGGACTCTGAGAGCTACCATCCACGTCAGCATCATCTTCCTCTCTAGGAAACCCCTCTAAAGCCCCGGGATGGGTCAGGGCCCTAGAGAAGCACTGCCATATCCACAGTGCTTGCTTCCATCTGAGCACAGGTGACAGCATCTAAGCAGGAACTGTTTCTGTGTCTGTCTTTCCCCCACTCCAGACTGGAGCTCCTCGGGGGCAGTAGCAGGGGCTGGTCCTCCTGGTATCAGCAGGGAATGAAGGATGGAGGAATGAACAGGTGAAGGTATTTGGGTTCTCATGGGAATCATCCACACCCTAGGGCTGGGACAACCATTCCCTGATGTGTCTCTCCTCCTTCCCAGGTTTGTCCCTCTGGAAAGATGCTGAGGCTCAGGATGCTGGTTGCTGTGTTAAGCACCTGCCTGGGCCTGCTGGGCGCAGCTACCGCAGCCACAGGGCCTAACCCCGCCCAGCCAGACACCCCCAGCATTCTGCCCTTCCACCGGCGCCAGAAGAGAGACTGGATTTGGAACCAGATGCACATTGATGAAGAGAAAACCACCCCGCTCCCCCATTATGTAGGCAAGGTAAGGCTCAAGCGCCAGAGCAGGAGAGGCCCCGAGCCCACAGTGATAGTGGTAATGATGATGGTGATGGCAACAATGGTGACGAGGAGGACAGATGTTGTGGTGATAGGGCTAGAGATGATGGTTGCAGGGGTGATGGTAACAGTGGATGACATGATGAAGATGGCAGATGTAGTGGCAGAGGTGGAAGTAATAAGAAGAAAGCAGTGGGGATGATGGTGGTCATGGTACGGTTAGTGATGGTGATCATGGAAGTGGTGGTGGTGGCAGTGGTGATGGCAGTGAAGGAGAAGGTGGTGATGGCAGTGGTGGTGGTGAAAGGGAAGCAGAAAGTGGTAATGTTGGTGATGACAGTGGTAGTGATGGTGGTGAAGAGAAAGATGGTAGTAGTAATGGTGGTGGTAGTGGTGGCGGTGGTGAAGAAGCAGCAGAAAGTGATCATGGTGGTGGTAGTGATGATGGAAGTAGTGTCGGTGGCCACAGGTGTGAAGACAGTGATAGTGATTGTGATCAAGGAGGTAGTGTTGGTGGTGACAGTGATGATAGTGGTGATGGTGAACACTATAGCTCACTTTCCCCCAGACCTTGGTCTGTTGACTAGCTATTGCTATAGAAGGGCCACCCCTTCCACAAACTAAGAAAGCAAGCTTGGTCTGGGGCTCAGGACTTGGGACAGAAGCAGCAACTGCACTAACTTGTGCTATCCACAGAGGTCAAAGAAGGGCCAATATAGTAGGTAAATCCCAGAAAACCTCCTACAGAACTGCTGATGACAAAGTTAATTATCTAGGCCACAGTTTGCCAACTCTTCATCTAGGCCTCTAAACTCCTCAAAATCCCCTTTCTCTAAGATGATGTCTCCCTGGTTCCCTGTGACCCCACACAGCTCCAGATTCCAGAAAGCCCAAAACAAGGTGCCTGACCCAAGCCTGCCCTCCAGGGCAGTGCCTAAGATCTAACCTTTCCTTTATTCCCCTTTAAAGTTTGTCCATCCGAAGTTTGTCCAGTATACCTTCCTAAAACTTGGAGAAAATTTGAATGACTATCAAATAGTCTTACTGTGTCAAACTGTTACTGGAGTCAAAACTATCCTAACTCAATGAAAGAGCCCTTCTGGTGGAATTTCACAAGTAGACACAGGTAGACATAACAAGTATTTTGAGAGTTTTCAATGAGGAGCAAACTCTTTCAAGATTTCAAGATTTCTTAAAATCTCACCAGGTCAGCTTTTTGGAATCTAAACATCAGCTAGGGGAGAGAACAGATCAACACTGGCAAAGGAAGCACAGTGCTAAGCACCAGGCTGGGTACTGGGAGAAAATAATAGACAAAGACAGACACAGTCCCTGTCCTCATGGGGCTTGTGGTCTAGAGTAGAGATCAGCAAACTATGACCTGCTGGCCAGATATGGCCCACCACTTGGTTTTGTAAATAAAGTTTCATTGGAACACAGCAACACCCATTCATTTATAAATTATCTATGGTTGGTTCTGAGCTATGATGACAGAGTTGAGTAGCTGTGATAAAGAACCTGTTGTTGTTGTTGTTATGTGCCGTCAGTCAGACCCAACTCATAGCGACCCCTCCTTGGGTTTCCAAGGCATTATCACTATGGAAGTAGATTGCCCCATCTTCCTTCCAAGGAGGGCTGGTGGGTTTGAACCGCCAACCTTCTGGTTAGCAGTCAAGTGCCTTAGGCACTATGCTACCAGAGCTCCTGATAAAGAACCTACAGCCTGCAAAATCAGAAAGTATTTCCTCTCTGGCCCTTTACACAGTTTGACAACCTTGGTCGAGGGGCTAGCACACATCAGACAAAGAATCCACAAATAGCTAGTGGTGATTACGGAGCCCTCTGGTCATAAGGAAATGGGCTAGAGAGGACCTTTGGGGGGAGGGTACAGTTCTCCCTGAGCACCAGAAACGCCACAGAAGGAAGGGCCAGCTGGAGAACTGCCACCCACAGCCCCACCCCCACCCACAGCCCCACCCCCACCCACAGCCCCACCCACAGCCAGCTGACTTACCCTGGCTCCTCCAAAAACTGACCAGGAAATTTAACCCCTTTAGCAAGACCAGTCAGAAACCCAGGCCCAGAAAGGGGAAGACACTTGCCAAGGGTCACACAGTAAGGCCAGGACAGACCCCTAGGGGAACCAAGGACTGCTGCCCCTGACATGAACATGAACTCTGTGTCATAGAGGAAAAGGTCATTAATGCACCTATGTCCCCGCCCCCCCAACAGGATAACTGTGCCATGATTAAGGGTCACATGCCTTCTCTGTAGAGAAGGGCCAGCCCCAGGGAAAATCTGCGGTGAGTCAGCGAGAGTTAGCGGAAAGCGGGGGCCATTGCATCCCATGCAGCCCTGCCAGCAGCCTCAGGAAGGCTCACCCAAGGGTCTGGAGCAACCGGAAGAGCATCAGGCCAGCCGTCACCCACTGGCAGCATTTGCTTGGCACGCAATGTGGGGCTGAGGTTGGGGACAGAGGAGTCACAGGCAGTCCCCACCCCAGGGAGACAAGGCCAGCGCTCCAAGAATCACTTCCAGAGACTAAGGACGTAATGTGAGGGAAGGAAGTCCCTGTTTATTCAGGCCAGAGCCCTGAAGCCTTTGTTTACAGACCTGGCTGGGCCATGGGAGCAAGCCTGAGAAGGCTTCTGAATCCACAAATGTGGGTCATTGTGGCTTTTGGCATTAAGATGTCATATGATATTTAAAGAATAATAATAATAGCGGGAAGGAGAGTAGAAACTTATATTCAGATGAAATCTTATGCAGAACTCTAATAAAACAGATCAAAGCTGCCTTGCTCCCCATTACCACTTGTGTCCACGTGGGTTTAGGTATGTAGTCAAATCTCACAAAGTGTCCAGAACCAACTTGGAAAACCTCCACCTTATTCTAACTCCAAGTGGCCACACATGGCTCCAGCCTATCCCTCCTGCCTGAGTCCCCACCATCCCCCCAGGCTACAGGTTCACCACCCAGTATTCTTCTTTCTTCTTGCCTCCCATCCAGCTGGTCATCATATGTCATGGCTCACTGGGCCTTGGGATCTCTTCATGACCACCTGCCCCTGCACACCACAGCCCTGCTCCAAGGTGCTTGGCCTCCTGCAGAGGCCATGCCCTCTCTCCCATCCCTCATGAGGGGTGCTCCTCACTCCCTGACTCCACTTGTTCATCTTCTAGACTCTTCTCTACACTCTACCACCCAGCTCCTCATCCGTTGCTGCTCCCACTGAAGGAGCTGCTAGATCCCAGGGCACTGTGCAGGATTTGACCACACCTTTCTTGAAACACCCTCTTCTCTCTTAAGACCCCAGCCTCTCCTGTTTCTCCTCCAGCCTCTCTAATGGGTCCTCATCAGATATCTCACTCAAGATTCTTGCTCCCTGTGACCCCTGAACACTGCCATTCCTCAAAAGTCTCAGTCTCTGAGCTTCAAGCATAGGCCCTGAGAATGAAGCATAGGCAAGAACAGGGTTTGGGCCATCTCTGGTCCCAGTGCCTGGGGTAGGGCCTGGCATCTTGTAGGCATCCAATTAGTTTTGATTCAAGTGAATTAAATTATATTAGTCAGGCATTCTAACATTCTAGGACCATAGTATTTTACGGGCATGGTATACGGTATCTTCTTATTAGCTGCCATCAAGACAGTCCTGACTTCCTGTTGTGATCCCATACACAATGGGACAAAATGTTGTCCAGTCCTGTACCATTCCCACGGTCGGCTGCAGATCAGAAAATCATAGGACTTTCACTAGCTCATTTCTGGAAGAACACCCACTCCTCACCTACCAGCATTATTATTATGTTTCAAAGACCAGGTCGTTATGCAAAAATTGAAGTTATGTGAAAATGCAGGATAATCACATCAGATCACAAAATGGAGGATGACTACACCATTACACCACTGGGTATCATGGCCCAGCCAAGTTGACACATAACCTTAACCATCACAGTCAGCATTACTCTCACCTCACACTTCAACATTACTTACCGTCAGACATGTATTGCTGTGTATAACAAATTGGATAGATTTTTCACTATTGTTGTAAGTGTGAAATGTCAGATAACAAGACAGGCAATAAGTGAGGAGCAGGAATAGATCACCAGGCCTTTCTTCCTAGTCTTAGTCTGGCAGCTCCACTGCAACCTGTTCAGCGTCACGGCAATATACCAGCCTCCACTGACAGACAGGTGGTGGCTGCACAGGAGGTACACTGGCAGGGAATCAAACCTGGGTCTCCTGCACGGAAGGCAGGGACTCTACCACTTACCACTCATGCTCCTAATATTCTCCAATTCTGAGATGCGGTACATGGAATGCCCAGCAACTCTAACCCAATAACCTTTAACTTGTGGATCTATCATAAATAATAACAGTATTTCTTGAGAACCTGTTCTGTGCAAGTTGCTTTCATACATTATTTTCCAAATAATGTAACATTAATAGTAAATATTACAAAGAAAAAGGGTTGCATGGTATAAGAAATATGGGAAGTCTGAGCTGAAGAAAGGTCATTGGAGTTCTTTTCTCAGGATTATATATTGCAAAGGAACCCTGGTGGCACCATGATTAAAGTGTCTGGCTGCTAACCAAAGGTTGGCGGTTCAAATCTACCAGCATTAGCCGTGCTGCAGGAGAAAGATGTGGCAGTCTGATTCCATAAAGATTTATTTACATCCTTGGAAGTCCTATGAGGCAGTTCTTCTCTGTCCTATAGGGTTGCTATGTGTGGGAATCAACTTGACAGCAATGGGTTTGGTTTACACACCAAATCTCCAAGAAGAGGACATATTATGTACCATTCCAAATCCAAACTGACCAAGAGTGGTGGTTGCTGATAAATATGACAACTGTCTTTCCAGGGGGAAAGGCTCTGATTTGTAATATTTTCCGTGGTATAAATATTCCCACCATGTCTGATTTCAAGCTACCAGTGTGATGTCACTAAAGGCAGAGTTCAGGAAAGATGTGTATTAAGGCCACCAAAATCCACTGTTATCGAGTCAATTCCAACTCATAGCGACCCCATAAGACAGAAGAAAACTGTCCCTTTGGGTTTCCAAGACTGTAAATCTTTACAGAAGCAGACTATCCCATCTTTCTCCCCCAGAGTGACTGGTAGGTTTGAACCGCCAACCTTTTGGTTAGCAGCCCAATGCTTTAAGCACAGCACCACCAGAGCTACTTCAGATGTGCATTAGCACATCATTATTTAGTATTTCCATCTTTCAGACACAACAGACATGAGCAACCTCAAGAGCATAATAGTAAAATGTAAAATAATTAGAAAGTTAACAAATTCTGAGCATACATTACCTTTGGGGTTTTTACTATTATTATTTTGTTATTGAGAATATACAAAGCAAAACAAGCACCAATTCAACCATTTCTACATGTGCAATTCAGTGCCACTGATTACATTCTTCGAGTTGTGCGACTATTCTCACTCTCCTTTTCAGAATTGTTCCTCCTCCATTAACATAAACTCACTGCTCCCTAAGGTTCCAATCTAATACTGGGAGCTGCCGTTGTCACTTTGATCCCACATAAACCAAAACCAAACTTACTGCCATCGAGTTGATTCCAACTCACAGCAACCCCACAGGACACAGTAGAACTGCCCCGTAGGTTTTCCAAGGCTGTAACTCTTTATGGAACAGATTTCCACATCTTTCTCCCACGGACCAGCTGCTGGGTTCAAACTGCTGATCTTTTGGTTAACAGCTGAATTTTTTAATAACTGCACCACCAGAGCTCCTTTGATCCCATGCAGACAGTTCTTGAAAGAGTACAATGCTCAAGGCAGACTTTTTTATTAGTTGAGCTAAACTATTGTTTGGTTTTAAGAAGACTCCAGGGGCTATTTCTGGTTTAAGGTTTAAAATGATCTCAGGGCAACAGTTTCTGGGGTCCATCCACCCTCCATGGCTCCAGAAACTCTGGAGTCCATGAAAATTTGAATTCTATTCTGCTTTTTCCCACTTTTGATCTGGATTCTTCTACAACATATTTGATCAAAATGTTCAGTAACGGCAGCTGAGCACCATTCAGTTCTGGTCTCACGGCAAAGGAGGCAGCTGTTCATGGAGGCAACTTGCCACAAATCCCCTATCCCCCTCCTACTCCTGACTCACTGCCTTCCTCTGCTGCTCCAGGTGAATAGAGACCAACTGTCATGCCTTGGGTTGCCATTTGCAAGCCGTTAAGACCCTTGGAACTGCGCAACAAACTAGGAAGTAGAATAAAAGCACTAAACATATTATTAGGCCATTTAACTGGGATGTCCATGAACCTATGACCCTAAACCTCTGAACCAAGGAGCGGAATTCTGTGAGGTTTTAGTTGAGCATAAGCAGTCTCAGAAGTGACTCTTTTTTGTTTGTTTGTATTTTGGGCATTGTACCTTAGTTTTTAATATGACTTATTTAATTATAAATTTATATAATTGAATCTTTAATAATGGCTGTGTTTTTAACAACCACCTCACAAAAAACTTCTAAAAATTTAAGTTGATTCTCAGTACTAGCCAGCTGCACTGACCCAGTCTCCATTTTTACGTGAAACATCTAAAGAAACCAGTCCTTCCTGACACTCTGTTTCCAAGATGCTGTTCTGTTCATTAGAGTAACTCACTATCACCTCCATTCTGCAGAGGAGGTAACCACAATTTTGAGAAGTGCCTTCCAAGTGAAAACACCCAGGTTTTCTGCTTCAAAATCCTTGCCTTCCAAAGGCACCAAGTACATTCTTTCACTCAAAACATCTTTCCTGAGCACCTACTATGTTCCAGACACTGTTCCAGGCCTCCTGGGGCAACTCCCAATGACATAGTGTTCACAGTGACCAGGCACAGAGCAACTCACTGCTGAACAGCCACAAGTTCTTGTCAGTGCAACTACTCTGTGCGACATTGTAATGGCGGACATGTGGCATCATGCATTTGTCAAAACCCACAGGATCAAACCCTAATGTAACCTATGGACTTTAGTTAATAATAATGTATCAACACAGGTTTATCAATTGGAAGAAATGAACCACACCAATGCAAGATGCTGATCACAGGAGAAACTGTGGGTACAGGGAAAAGGGGGATTTTGGTGTCTTTTTGGTCTGTACTTTCTTCTCAATTTTTCCAAAAACCTAAAACTGCTCTGAAAAAACAAGTGTATTCACTTAAACAAAAATATCCTGCAAGATCACAGTTAAGACCCCTTGGGAAGCCCACACACACGTGTGCATACACACATGCACACAGACAAGCCTACACACATGCACATGTCCACACACAGCCACCGTTGCTCATTCCCAGCTCACAGCACCCCTTCCTTCCTAGATCAAGTCAAGTGTGAACCGCAAGAATGCCAAGTACCTGCTCAAAGGAGAGTCGGCCAGCAAGGTCTTCAAAGTCAATCCGGAAACAGGGGACGTGTATGCCTTTGAGAGGCTGGACCGGGAGAAGATCTCTGAGTATCACCTAGTTGCCCTCATCGTGGACAAGGACACCGATAAAAACCTGGAATCTCCTTCTAGCTTCACCATCAAAGTCCACGATGTGAACGACAACTGGCCTGTGTTCACGCACCAACTGTTCAATGCGTCAGTGCCTGAGATGTCCACTGCAGGTGCGTACCCAGTCTGCCCCTCTCTCTCCCTCCTTCCTCCTCCCTCCTCCCTCCCCCCCCCCAGCCTGGAGGCAGCCATCAGGGGCTCCACTGCCTAAAGCCGGGATTCAGTGAGTTCAGACCAGGGCGGTGGTTTTAACGCCCATGCTGCCACTTTACACACTTGGGCCCTAGACTAAGCTCTGACCTGGCCCCAGACTGAGCCTCCATCCTGATCACAGACGGAGCCATGACCCTGATCATAGTCTGAGCCCTGATTATAATCAGATTAACCTCTGACTCTGGTTTCAGGCTGAGACCTGCCCCTTGTTATTGACTAAGACCTGATCCTGGTCTGCAGTCTCCAGCCTCAGGCCAAACCTTGACCATCAAAGACACATACCCCTCTCATAACTCTTTGGAGCAAACCCCACCCACTTCCTTTGACCCTCAAGACTGGTATGCCAAGTGTGTAACTCTGCACATGGAAAGTACCTAGCCCTGCCACCAAGACAAGAAAGGCTACCTCTAAGGGTTATGCAGAGATTGGAGGGACAGAGTGTGTCACCAGCCTGGACCCAGGACCTAGCTGCTACTCCTTCCTCAGCCCTCCCCTAGGCTCCAAGATACACAAGAAAAGGGGTGTCTTCCCCACCCTCTCAGCCCAGGGTCCCTGGAAAGGGCCTTGGGACCAGACTTTCCTGTTAGTGTGGGACCCTGGATTTGAAAGGAATGAAAGATGTGACACTCGCCACCTAGGAAGCATGTGTCCACTCTCTTATTCTCACTCTTCCAGAAAGGAAAAGAAACAGCCCATCTAACCCCTCAGTTTCTCCTCAGGACCCTAACCATCCACCCCCTCCATCAACTTCCCCATAGATGCAAACCACCTGTCTTCCTGGTACCCTTCAAGGCTGACAGGGCTGGACCCCCACTGAAGCACGTGGCCCCTGGCACAGTCTCCTTAAAAAACAAAGCAGCCTTTTCTCCCTTGGGGCCTGGGAGGGCTGGGGACAGGAAAACCCTGAGCCCCATCTGCCCTTGTGCAGGAACTGGGTGCAAAGCTGGCAGTTACAAGGCAGCACCCCCAGGATTCTCTCTCTGCAGGGACCTCGGTCATCCGTGTGACAGCGGTGGATGCAGATGACCCCACAGTGGCAGACCATGCCTCTGTCATGTACCAAGTCTTGAAAGGAGATGACAAATTTGGCATCGACGATTCTGGTCTGTGTGACTTACCCTCCTGAGCAGGCATCACCTGGGGGCATGGGGAATTACCAACACAGGTGCTGAGGGAAGTCCAGTCTGACAAGTGACGCCTGGCTTCTAAAGGCTTTGCCAACCACTGAGCCACAATGCCCCATGGAGTGGTTGGTATCATGCATTAAGACAAGGTGGCTGGTGGGAGGATGCCCAAGACAAGGACTCAAATCTGGAGAACAAAATGAGGATTTTGGCACCCAAGCAATGACAGGAAAGGCAGCAGCAAATGCTGTTAGCAGCTCTGATACTGGCTCAGTCAGACATGGTTTTCCACTACTAGAAACCTCAGGCAAGTCCATTAACTCCTGTGACTTTTAGTTCCCTTACCTAGATAATAGATGTGTTTTATTTATCTTGCATGGTAGCTGTGAAGTTTGATAGATAATGTCTGGAGACAGCTTGGCCCATGATAATTGTTCAATGTGACTTAACAGAAAACTTTAAGGACTGAGTCTTGGGAGCAAGACAGAAGTACAGCTGGCCAGGCCTGGGCACACTGTCAGGTACATAGTAGCACAGACACCAGCACAATCCTGTGTGCACCAGGGCAGACATCACTAATCAATCCATCATAGCACTCTTTTACCCTGAGCCCAGATATAGCCTCATGTGCTTTCTCAACACAATGCTCCAGGTAGCTAGGATCAGCCTTGGACTGAATTGTGTGGCCAGCTTGAGCCTAACAGTGCAGGGTATGGAGGTGGTGGATTTAGACCCGTGGTCTCGGCCTGGCTGTGCATTAGAATCACCTGGGGGATGTTAAAGTCAAATTCCCTGGGGATGGGTCCCAAGCATCAGTGTTTTTAAAAGCTCCCGGGATAACGTGGCTTCTGCTGGGATAATTCTTGCAGGACTCATTTTCACGAAAACCGCAAACTTGGACCGAGAGACAAAGGCCAAATATGAGATAGTGGTGGAGGCACGAGATGCCCAGGGCCTCCGAGGGGACTCAGGTACGGCCACCGTGCTGGTCACTCTGCAAGATGTCAACGACAACTTCCCCATCTTCACCCAGGGTGAGCTCCTCCCCTGGGGCCCTGGGGTGAGGGTGGGCAGTGCTCCAGACTACAGAACTTGGGGGTCTCTCCCCACCCCAGCATGGGCCTAAGGCCCTGGGAAGTTCTCTGGTGCAAGAAGGGACCCTGCTTCCCATGCCCCAACACATCCCCAACTGTCCATCATGGCCCCTCACAGGACAGAGAGGAGACACACTCCCTGCTCTTTACCCCTACCACTCCCAGAGTCCCCCACCAGGTAGGACTAGTCTCACCCAGATCCCGTGGGATCAGACCCGGGCCCCAGGTAAAAAAATCCCATGAGTCAATGAGCTGGGGCACAGTAAGCTCCACCCTCAGAGCCTGGGCCAAGCCTGGGCCCCACTGGCAGACTGGTTCTTCCCTCCAAAGAAAACGTCCCATAAAACCTTGTCATGCATCTTGGATGGGGCTGGGAAGGAAAGCCAACAGCTCAGTGCACCTGCACCCTCCAGTGCCAGAGGCATAATTCAGAGGCTCAGCTACCTCTGGACAGGCCACTTTTCCAGAAGCAGCCTGGCTGTACATGTGCAAGGCCTATCTCTCTTGTCAATTGATTCACCCCCTAGGCCCCAGCAAAGTATCTGGTATATACTAGGTGCTCAATAACGACTTGCTGGTTGCATGGAGGGAGGGAGGGATGGATGTACAGAGCAGAATTTCTTTGCCTTGGGATCCAGAATCACACCCGGAATACTATTATTATTTCTAATATATCATTATTTTATCATCATCATCATTATTTTACTGTGCCCATTATTTGTATCAAAATGTGTCCGGTAGTATGAAGGGACAATCACCCTGCCTATCTCATTAACTCAATGCCCTTTGGGGTGACCTGTTTGCATCAGCCAAGTACACATTTGCCGTGGCTGAAGACATCCGCGTGGGCAGCCCCCTGGGCTCTCTGTTTGTTGAGGACCCAGATGAGCCCCAGAACCGGATGACCAAGTACAGCATCGTGCAGGGCGAGTACAAGGACACCTTCACCATCGATACGGACCCCACCCGCAATGAGGGCATCATCAAACCCATGAAGGTCTGTAGCCTGAGGCAATAACATCAAACATGGGGTGCAGGGCTCCTGGCATCCACAGCGGCCATTCAGGGACTGCTCCCCATCAAAGGTGCCCTCCCTGGGTTAGCTCAGAGCTGGGCTCGTGCTCACAGAGTCCGTGCCCTGGAGCCAGGAGAGACAGTCAATGTCAGGCTCACCATAAATTCTCCCTCCTACAGCCCCTAGACTATGAGCGCATCCGACAATACAGCTTCACCATCGAGGCCACGGACCCCACCATAAACCTCCGCTACCTGAGCAGCACCACCACCAGAAACATCGCCCGTGTCATCATCAATGTCACAGATGTGGACGAGCCGCCCATCTTCCAGCAGCCCTTCTACCACTTCCAGCTCCGGGAGAACCAGAAGAAACCTCTGATCGGCTCGGTGCTGGCCACAGATCCCGACGCAGCCCGGCACAGCATTGGGTAAGGGTGGCTGGTATGTGGGTGACGACGGGACAATCGTGTCATTGTTGTTGTCCCTGCTGGACTAAGACAGGCTCAGAGAGGAAAGCTGGTTTCTCCTGGTAATCACACGGGAAGTGGCAGAGGCCTGACCAGAACCATCCTGTTCTGTCCTAGTGCCTTTCAGGGACTCCCAGCCTACCTGACCATCACCTGCTACACCTTGATGGCTCTGTTCTTGGGACCACAACTTCCACGTGCCCCATCTAGTGAGATATGACAGCCAAATAAACTACTAATCAGCTGTCATACCTGAAGCCCCTTTATTCAGTATTTTATTAAATGTCTTCCCAAAACCATGAAAGTAAGAAGTGTTCAGTTTACACAACTCTATAAAGAAAACATCAGTAACCTCATTCCCAGATAACCATTTGCTTAATAGCTTGTGTTCCCATCACTATGTCAATAGCTTGGTGTGTTCTCATCATGCATTTCTTCATAACCACATGAACAGAGATATATTTAACATAGAGATACACTTACGGTCAATTGTTGTTTGCTTGCTCGCTTACTTGCTTTCTTTGGGGTTTTTATTGTCTTAAAAATGTTTGGGATCATACCATAGCCATCTCCCTGCTGCTTGTTCTCTTGTCTTAACTAGACTTTTCTTCCCTACCCTCTGGGACAAAAAAAATACATTTCCAACTCATATTTTTAGAGTCCGATAATATTTATAAGCCAAAAACCCACTGTTGTAAACATGATTCCAACTCATGGGGACCCCGTGTGTTACAAAGCGGAACTGCTCCACAGGGTTTTCTTGGCACCATCTTTACAAAAGCAGACCACCAGGCCTTTCTTCACTGTCCGGCATGTTTAAACCACCAACCTTTCTCTTAGGCGTCAAGTGCAAAACATTTGCACCCCAGGGACCTACGAATATATGATTCTTCCAAACAGAATCCTACCTACCTGTTCACAGTGGACACAAACCACCTGAGTCACCCAAGTTCTCTGTGCTAGCACCATTTATTAGAGAAGTCATCATTTTCCCACCTTTGGTACCAACTAAGTTCCTGCATAGACCTGAATCTATACCTGACTTCTCTACCCTACCCTACTGATCTATAGCAAAGACCTTCTACTGTACTGTTTTACACTGTTTTTTGTAGCTTTACCTTAAATCTTAGGATGTGTAATCAAGTCCCTCCCCCTCACTGTTCTTTATATAATTTTCTGTCCATTCTCAAACATTCACTCTTTAATATGAACTCTCAAATTATTTTATCTACTTTTAAAAAACCACCACTCTAATGAGAATTGTGTTTACTTTATGTACCAAGTTTGGAAGAGTTATTATTTCCATATTATTAAAAAAAAAAAACAAAACTCACTGCCGTAGAGTCGAATCCAATTCATAGCGACCCCTCCTTGGGTTTCTGGGGTGGTATCTCTATGGAATTAGATTGCCCAGTCTTCCTTTTGAGGAGTGGCTGTTGGGTTTGAGCCACTAGCCTTCTGGTTAACAGTCAAATGCCTTAGGCACTATATTAGGTCTTCTTCTTAAGGTATAAAATGTGTCCCTCCATTTTGTCTGCATCCCATAAATTTGGGGACTACTGTTTTCGTTGTAAGGAGCTCTGATGGTACAGTGCCTAAGGCATTTGACTGCTAACCAGAAGGTTGGCAGTTCAAACCCACCAGCCACTCCATGAAAGGAAAATGGGGCAATCTAATTCGGTAAAGATTTACCACCTCAGAAACCCAATGGGGGTCGCTATGAGTTAGAATAAACTAGATGGCAGGGAGTTTGGTTTTTTGGTTTTGATTTCATTGTAAGCCTATTCCAAATAGCCTATGATTGCTTTTGTTTAATATTTGATGAAAGTTTATGTAGGAGAATAACTTAGGCTTTGTTTTTTGCCTTTTTCCCTCCATTTCCAAGTGATAAGGTCATTTTGTTTTGCTTTAAGTTGTACCTTTGATGTAACAAAATTATATTTGCATGCATGTTTCCCTAAAATATCTAAGCTCTTGTTATATATCTCTTAACTTTTCTATCCAGTTCAAAAAAAAAAAAAGGTTCATCCTTCTTCATTGTGGCTTGTAAAACCAAAAAAACCAAACTCACTGCCATCAAGTCAGATCCAACTCATAGCGACCCCTCCCCTCCTTGAGTTTCTGAGGCAGTATCACTACAGAAGTAGACTGCACAACCTTCCTTCTGAGGAGTGGCTGGTGGGTTTGAACCACCAGCCTTCTGATTAGTAGTTAAATGCCTTAGGCACTACGCCACTTATCCATTAATAAATTACCCAATTTTTTCTGTTTAAACATTTTTCCTTCAATTACGTTACCTGAAATCATTTCATCAAGTCTTATTTTCACGTCACTCATGTTTGCCTGATACAAATTTTCCAAACTTCATGCTTAATTTTTTTAGGTCATTCAGCATTAAGGTGTCTCTGAAAATAGAATGTAGTTGGATTTTGCTTTTTAAACCAATCTGAAATCCTTTGTGTCTAATGTATTTACTTTTCTCATAATAAATGCTATGTTTGGTCTTATTTCTTCCATCTTGTTTTACATTTTCTTTTTCTCAAATTTAATGGCTATTTCCCATTCCCTATCTTTGCTATAGGAGCTTTGGTAGCATCATGCCTAAGGCACTGACTGCTAACCAGAAGGCTGGTGATTCAAACCCACCAGCCACTCCTCAGAAGGAAGGTTGGGCAAATCTACTTCTGTAGTGATATCACCTCGGAAAGCCAAGGAAGGGTCTCTATAGAGATGGGTACAACTCAACAGTAGTATGGTGGTGTTTTTTTTTTAATCTTTGCTATATAATCTATTTTTCATTTTTTTCTCCTGATATCTATAGAATACATCTATTTTCACATCTACTAGGAAGACTTACTCCTACCTATAAAACTAAATATTTTTACTGAACTTATATTTTCTAGTTATTGATATTACACACACACACACACACACACACGAAATAGCTATGTATTATAAACCCATAGGTTAATTCTAATTCCTCCAAAACTATGTTTTTACTTTATACTGAGACATTTGTTAATAAGATTAAGTTTTCAAAAAGATTTTTCAGGATCCATCTTTGTGGACAATACACTTCCTAGCTTTTATGTATCTACAGATTACCTTAGTTTTGGCCTTTTTATATTAATAACACCTGTATGTGGACATATAACCCTTAAATACCAGCCACTTCCCTTCAAAAATACTATTAATGTATTCTAGCATTTAATTTTGTGGCGATATCTGAGGTGTCTGATTTCTGTTTTTAAAAAATAAGAGATTCAAGTTTCTGACTGGATTTTTTCCGTTTCTTCACATAGTCTTGAAATTCAAGTTTCATCAGGATATACCAAAGTATGAATCTCTTTTTAAAGGTATGCCTGATATCAATTAAGCTCTTTTAATCAGTAGACTTTGGCCTTCTTCAGCTTAGGAAAGTTTTATTCTATCTTTTTTTTATTATTATTATTTCTTCTGTTCTTTTTGTCCTGGAATTTTCCTCAGTAGTAGCAACTATATGTTTTGTCATCATGTATGTATGTACACAAGGAGCTCCGGGTTGTAGCACCTAATGCACCTGACTGCTAACCAGAAGGTTGGCAGTTCAAACCCACCAGCCACTCAGCAGAAAAAGACTGGGCAATCTACTTCTGCAAAGATTTACCACCTCAGAAACCCAAAGGGGGCCACTATGACTTGGAATTGACTCCATGGCAGTGAGTTTGGTTTTCTGGTTTATGTACATATATCAACACACACACATTTTCCTTTCTCTTATTCATCTCTTCATATCTTTGTTTGTGATTTTTGGAAACACTTTTCTAATTTTTACTTCACAAATTTAAGTTCCTTTCAACAGCTTCTTACCTCTTCCAGCTCCTTTTATTTCTTCCCGACTCGTCATCAGTCACATAAACTAATAGTGCCTAAGGCACCTGACTGCTAACCAGAAGGCTGGCGGTTCAAACCCACCAGCCACTCCTCAGAAGGAAGATGGGGCAATCTACTTCCGTAGTGATACTGCCTCGGAAGCCCAAGGAGGGGCCGCTAAGAGTTGGGTCCGACTCGATGGCACATAACAACAACAGCAGCTGTGGTATTAGTTGATTATCACGTCACCTATCTCAGCTCTAGAAGTGCTTACAGATGGAATCTCAGACACCACATTCAGCTCAGTGATAGCAACATGGCTAAAATCAAAGGGATTTTCTCTCTGCCCTTGAATCCCTCTGTGCTGATGTGTAGGTCTGCTCACTGTGCTGGGTGGTAACCACAGTGGGCATCCAGTAGGGACAAAAGATGGAGAAGGACGAAGGGGACAGATCCTGAAGGGCCTTGTCTGTCATGCTGAGGAGTTTGAACTCTGCAAAGAAAGACAGAAAACTATGACACTCTTTCCTCTGGCAGATACTCCATCCGCAAGACCAGTGACAAGGGACAGTTCTTCAGAATAACCAAACAGGGGAACATTTACAATGAAAGAGAACTGGACAGAGAACTCTACCCCTGGTATAACCTGACTGTGGAGGCCAAAGAACTGGATTCTACTGGTGAGTGATCCCACCCAGCAGGGGACCTGGGCTTTTCTCTTCCTCTCATTCTTTTAAGACTGGCATCATCTGTCAGTTCAGTCCTAAGAGGTACTGTAAGCACCAGCTGAAGTACCACTTGGCTGAGATGCTATAGAGCGTCCTTGGATCAGCACCATCTATATCACCTGAGACCTTTTAGTAGTGCAGAATCTCAGGTCCCCGCCACTGCCCAGACTGAATCAGAATCCCATGCACATTACAGTCTGAGAAGCACTGCTGTAATGCAGGCTGCCCAAACTTGCCTGCGATGACAACTGCCTAGGCATACTTAACCATACAGCTTCTCAGGACCCTCCCAGGAGGTTCTGGTTCTGCGAGCCAGAGATGGGGCTGAGGAATGTTATTTAGCAAGTACCTCATGATCCCTATTATCAGTGATGTCTGGTTCATGTCACCTTGGTGAGTGTTTATGCAACAATTAGCACTGGATTCAAAATGTGAAGCAGCTTCCAACTCTGAGATTAACTTCTCCAGAAATTGGTGTAACTTCTGCCAAAGTTTGGCACCCTTCGCCAGTATCACAAAACCCTAACAACCCTCTGGAAGAAAGGCTAATGTCCCTATATTACCTAGAAGACCACCAGAGCCCAGAGAAGGAGTGACTTGTCCAATGCCCCACAGGTACTACCATACAAACCCCTACCTCCTCCTGGGCCACCCAGACTCACTTCCCCCAACATGGCAGCTGTGCCCAACCTCAAGGGACTCCTCGTGTTTTTCAGACCAGCCCATGACCCTTTCTTCCCCACCTAATCTTATCCATAGATTTTTTTTTAACTTCAAAAGCATAATTGCTTACTTTAGAAACCAGAAGAAATAAAAAACCAGAAAAGAAGACAGTTACTGCCCCCCCCCCATTTTACTATCAGCACTTTAGTATTAATTTTTTCTGGTCTTTTTCCCACACATATTTTCACATTAAGTGTTGTGGTTAGGTGCCATCTAGTCATCTCCAACTCAAAGCGACTTTATGTACAACAGAACAAAACCCTGCCCAGGCCTGTGCCAGCCTCACGATCCTTGTAATACCTTAGCCCATTGTTGCAGCCACTGTGTCAATCCACCTAGTTGATGACCTGCCCCTTTTTCATTGACTCTCCACTTTACCAAGCATGATATCCTTCTCCAGGAAATGGTCCCTTCTGACAACATGACCAAAATAGGTGAGACAAAGTCTGGTCATTCACACTTCCAAGGAGCAGTCCGGCTGCACTTCTTCCAGGATAGATCTGTTAGTTCTTTTAGCAGTCCACGGTACTTTCAGCATTCTTCACCAACACCACAACTCAAAAGCATCAACTCTTCTTCGGTCTTCCTTATTCATTGTCCAGCTCTCACATGCATAAAAGGTGACTGAAATACCATGGCTTGGGTTAGGCGCACCTGAGTCTTCAAGGAGATATCTTTTTTTTTTTTTTTTTAATTGTGATGTGGGTGAAAATTTACAGAGCAAATTCACTTTCCTTACAGAAGTTCACACACACTTTGTCTCGTGACATTGACCACAATTCACCACAATGCAACAGCTCCCCTCCCACTTCCTCCCGACAGTCACCCCTTCCCTGTCTCCATCCCTCCATGCACCCCTGCCCCCTGAGCTGTCTCCCTGTGCATTAACTACCCTTCTTTCTCCCATGATTGTTCTCTCCAAGGAGTGTAACTATCTCACGTAAATGTTAAACTCCTATGCCTGTCTTCTGCTTGACTGGAAGCCACAGGTATGGGTTCAATTCCAGACCTGAAGGGCAGCTAGGGGCCATAGTCTCAGTGGTTCCATCAGGCTCTGTGAGACCAGCAAACCTGGTTCCCTTTTTTTTTCCCCCCCCAAATGATTTTGAGTTTTGTTCCACATTGTTCTCCCTCTCTATCCAGGAGCTCCTACATACATCCCCCTCCAAGTGGCTGACAGTTGTAGCCGGGCACCATCTAGTTCTTCTGGTCTCATAGTCATATAGGCTGTGGATAGCATGATGTACCAGTCACTAGGACTAATTCTTCCCATGAATCTTTGGTTTTCTTCATTCTTCTTTGCTCTGGACAAGGAGAGACCCATCATTGCATCTAGATGGTTGCTTGCAAGCTTTTAAGATCCCAGTCACTATTCGCCAAAGCAGGAGGTGGAACAATGCTTTGTGTATATGTTATGCCAATTGAGCTTGATGTCCCCTGTGACTACGGTCCCAAGCCCACAGGTTCATCTACTCGGTCCCTCTAGGTAGCTGGCTGTGAACAAGAAGTGACTACAACCTTGTCAGCTCTACTATACACCTGGGAATTCAGATCATACAAATACACTTATAGGACCATTGTCAAGGAGCTATCTTTGCTCTTCAGCACTTGAAAGAGGTCTTTTGCAGCAGATTTTCCCAATGCAATATGTCTGCTTCCATTGGTGTTGACTGTAGAACCAAGTAATATGAAATCTTGACAACTTCAATCTTTTCCCCATTTACTGTGATGCTGTAATTTGGTCCAGTTGTGAGGATTTCTGTTTTCTTTATATTGAGGTATAATCCATACTGCAGACTGTAGTCTTCAATCTTCATCAGTAAATGCTTCAAGTCATATCCTCACTTTCAGCAAGCAAAGTTGTGTTATCTATGTATCGCAGGTTGTCAATGAATCTTCCTCCAATCCTGATGTCACATTCTTCTTCATATAGTCCACCTTCTCAGATTATTTGCTCAACATATAGATTGCATAAGTATGATGAAAGGATACAACCCTGATGCACTCCCTTCTTGATTTTAAACCATGTGGTATTCCTTTGTTCTGTTCAAATGACAGCATTCTGGTCTGTGTACAGGTTCCTCATGAGCACAATGAAGTGTTCTGGAATTCCCATTCTTCTTAATGTTATCCATAATTTGTTATGATCCACACAGTTGAATGTTTTTGCATAGTCAATTAAACACAAGTCATCATCTTTCTGGTTTTCTGATATACCAGAAAGATGTTTACTGGTATACCAGAATACCAAAAAGATGTTTCACATAAGTAAGATCATATTTTATTCATATAAAATAGCGTATATTGAATGTTTTACTTAATTTTATTCCATAATCATTTTCTCATGATATTAAAATGTCTTCAAAAAATACTTTTAATTACATTTAAAAATGTTTTTCTATCATTGTAAATGACTACAAATATTCCATTCTTTCAAAGGGGTGAAAAGTTGTTACCCTAATCTTACAAGCGACGCTTCAGTGAACACCCCTGTGTGTGAAGCTTGACCTTCTACTCTTCCACACATCTTTCACCCAGAGCACCATCCCTGGCCTCTCTTCCAGGGGTCCACGAGCAGACCCTTGGAGCTGAGCCCCAATGACTCTTTTCCCCTGCAGGGACCCCCACAGGCAAGGAGTCCATTGTGCAAGTCCACATTGAAATCTTGGATGAGAACGACAATGCCCCAGAGTTTGCCCAGCCCTATGAACCCAAAGTGTGTGAGAGTGCTGCCCCGGGCCAGGTGAGTCTGACTGCGGCGGGAGGATGAGGCAGCGCCACCTGTGTCAAGCCAAGGGACAGACTGACTCATCCACAGCCAGCTGGGGTCTCTCTGTGATTAATGTAACCTTCAAAATAGGCTTGAGGGAAGGTAACATTATCCCTGTTTTACAGACAGAAAAACGAAGCCTTAGAGAGAATTTGTGGAGTAAAGCGGGGACGACGTTAGAAAGAGTGGCTTTGTGGAGACCCTTTAGGTTAGTTTTGCAGGTTTAGCCAGAGTCAGGCCTATAAACCCCACGTCTACATCACTGAACCCTAAGCCTCCCAAACCATCACTGACAGTCTCCCTCTTTCCTTACTCCAGCTGGTCGTGCAGATTTCAGCAATAGACAAGGATATAACCCCACGAGACGTGAAGTTCAGATTCTCCCTGAGCACTGAGGACAGCAACTTCACCCTTATGGATAATCGCGGTACATATCAAAGTAGTCAGCTAGGCGCTAAGCCGGGTCTGGAGTGGGGCTATTTGAGTCTTGAAGTCCTAGGTTCAAGGACCAGGCTAACAAACTGGGGGCAGGACATTACTGGGATGTATAAGTTACAGGATACCTCATACAACTCCTGCCATTGACTCTACTGATCTATGCCATGGTCAGCTCCACCCTAGCCAAACTGCCAAGTCCACATAGCCAGCTATTCCCCCATCAGACACTCAGATCTGTGAGGCAGAAACCAGGCAGCTCAGTCCATGCACTAGCCAGCTGACTCCTTCTCACACCGGGATCTCTGTACCTCAGCAAAACTACCAACTGCACATGGACCTTCGCAATCACTTCCGAAGAGTCAAAAAATGTCCAGGATAGACCCAATTTTGTTTTAATTCAGCTACAATGTCTACTTAACATCAGGTGGCCCCGGAACTGGATCTGATCTACCAATCACAGCCCAGAGATTCCTATGATGTCATTAGTGGCCATAGTTCCTGGTCAGCATGCGTTCAGTAGATGCTGCTGAGTGGATTGAATTCCAGCCAAAAGTAGACAGGCTTCCACGCTTGGCTCTGCAGCCCCCTTAGAAAAAAGAGAAAATGTATTTCCCTGGGGTCTAAGTTCTTTCACTGAGCACAGGGTAGAATTCCTCTGTGTCCCCATAGGCAAAACTGTGGTTGATGACAAACACTGTATTTAAACATCAAATGCCACCTTCAAGGAAGGACTGGGGGCTAGGGTTCCTGAGAGTAAGGGACCTAGTCAAGGGAGCCCTGTGTCAGTTCTCCAAGACCAACCGAGGGGGTCAGGCCCAGACCCACCCTTAAGGAGCCTCCTGCATAGGATGTCTACGGAGCTCTGGTGGTATAGTGGGTAAGGCACTTGACTGCTAACCAGGAAGTTAGGGATTCAAACCCACCAGCTGCTCCTTGGAAGGAAAACAGGGTGATCTACTTCCATAAAAATGTACAGCCTCAGAAACCCAACGGGGGTTGCTATGAGTCAGAAACGACTCGATTACAGTGAGTTTGGGGTTTTTGGGTTTTTTTTTGTTTGTGTTTGTTTTCATTTTACACAAGATGTGGGGAATGAGGCTATGATGTGTTGACAACAACAGACCAGTCAACGTCCAGCTACTTTTACTAGCAAAAATATGTCACCCTGTGATGTCCAATGTCCAATTCAACCCCACTCAGAGAGAGGTCTGTAGAAAGGTCTGTGGGCCATCCCACAGACAGCCCATGTGTGGCCAGGAGGCAAGCCTCTTGGTCCCAGAGCAAGCCATGTACAAGTCTCACTTAAATCCTGAATGCCCTGCATGTCAGAATCTTTCCTTTCACCCATGAAGTGCCAATGGCCATATCATTTACCTTCAACTATAATAGACAAAGGAGCTCTGGTAGCATAGTGGCTAAAGCACTTGACTGCTCACCAGAAGGCTGGCGCTTCAAACCCACCAGCCACTCCTCGGAAGGAAGGTTGGGCAATCCTACTTCCGTAGTGATACTGCCTCAGAAACCCAAGGAGGGGTCGCTATGAGTCGGGGCCGACTCGACGGCACATAACAACAACAACAATGTAATAGACAAGGCCACTTAAAAATGAAACATAACTGGCTTTCATCTGAAAATCTAAAAGATGCCTCCCTTGCTTTCTGTTTGCTTCCTGAGTGTGTCGATCCTGTGGGTAGAGAAATCCTGGACTCCGTGGACCCATCTTCCTCTGACCACGGAAGTCAGAACCTCCTGGGAACCTATAAAATGCAGATTGCCTGGCTGTCAGTCTAGAGTCACTGATTCAGAAATGTGTGTGTGTGTGTGTGTGTGTGTGTTTGGGGGAGGTCAGCTAGGAGTCAAATAATCAGCATGTTTAAGAAACTTCTGTATTAGACACAGATTAGAGCTGGTGACAGGAAAGAAGAGGTGTCGATATTGGGCTAAAGCACATTCCCTGTTCCATCCTGCCCAGGAAATCCTGAATCCCATATGCAACCATTCTGGAAGGACCCCAGGGAGCGCGTGCATTGTTTTCACTGGTATAAAACTTTAGTAATGATGGATTTCCAGGGATAGCAAACCCCCTTAGAAGTTAGCCCAATGCTAACTTTTCAAAACTTTATTTTCCCCCACTTGCTCATGAAGCTTGAAACAACTTTAAAAGAGATCATCTCTGTAGTAAGAGTGGGATTACAGAAAGAGAAGAAGTCAAGCCTATCAGATGCCCAAAGAAACAGAAAGGAAGGGTTTTACCATCTGGCCAGCCATTCTTAAAGGCTGGGTCAAAACAGCTGCCCAAAATTCCCCTCTATGGGGGAAGAGGTCTGAGTTCAACAGGCTAAAATCTGAGGTGGGGGATGCAGAGGCCGGAGAAGGAGCACCTGAGCTGGTATAGTCAGGGAGGGCTCCCTGGAGGAGGCAGGCACCGCTCTCTGTGTGGCTGAGGATGTGGGTACTCCCTGCAGAGCCTGACTCTGTGGGTTTGGTGTTTCCAGACAACACCGCCAACATCACAGTCAAGTACGGGCAGTTTGACCGGGAGCGTGTCAAGGTTCACTACCTGCCGGTGCTCATCTCAGACAACGGAAGGCCCAGCCTCACAGGCACCAGCACGCTGGCCGTGGCGGTGTGCAAGTGCAATGAGCGCGGGGAGTTCACCTTCTGTGAGGAGGTGGCACCCCAGGTGGGCGTCAGCATCCAGGCACTGGTCGCCATCTTCCTTTGCATCCTCACCATCACTGGTGAGTGGCAGGCACGCCGGGGGCGGGCATGGGTCACCGAAGGGGCTCCACAGGGAGGAGGAGAGGTAGGGATCCAGGTCCAATGCTGCCTCCAGTCACTGCGTAGCCCTAGGCAAGTGTCCTACCCTGGGCCTCTCGGATACAGGGATGTGAGCTCCACCTCCCTGGGTGCCTCTGTTCCAAGAGGTGGGGTGGGCAGGCGAGTGACCCACCGGATGACTGGACCAAGCCAAACGTTCTGTGTTATCGGGTCATGGAAGTGTCACTGGGAATCTGGGCAAGTCTAGGGATTCCGAGGGAGGCGGGGAGGCACTGGTGGGCCTCAGAAGGTAAGCCTTGTGTAATTCTCACTCTGCTTGTCATCAGTGATTACCCTCCTCATCTTCCTGCGCCGGCGGCTCCGGAAACAGGCTAGGGCCCACGGCAAGAGCGTGCCTGAGATCCACGAGCAGCTGGTCACCTATGACGAAGAAGGAGGGGGTGAGATGGACACCACCAGCTACGACGTGTCGGTGCTCAACTCGGTGCGCCGGGGCGGGGCCCAGCCTCCGCGCACGCTCGACGCTCGGCCGCCGCTCTACGCCCAGGTGCAGAAGCCGCCACGGCGCGGGCCCGGCATGCACAGCGCGCCCGGAGAGATGGCGGCCATGATCGAGGTGAAGAAGGACGAGGCAGATAACGATGGCGGCGGCCCCCCCTACGACACGCTACACATCTACGGCTACGAGGGTGCCGAGTCCATCGCCGAGTCACTCAGCTCGCTGGGTACCGACTCATCCGACTCCGATGTTGACTACGACTTCCTCAACGACTGGGGGCCCCGGTTCAAGATGTTGGCTGAGCTGTACGGCTCCGACCCCCGGGAGGAGCTGCTGTATTAGGAGGCCAGGCCTTCCGTGCTTGGGGACCCTGATGGCTGCAGCCCAGGCCACCTGGACACCAGGTCCAGCACTCCTTCCTCATGGATTCCAGGCTACTCTTGGGTAGCAAAATTAAGGTCCCTGAAGCGTCTAGAAAGTATTTCAGTGATCGCTACCCCCTAAACCCTGAAAAAGCCAGGCTAGTATTCTGATGGGCTCCAAGGTCCCCATAATCCTGTTGCCCCCACCATGGGTCCACTTCAAGGACTTTTGACTCTTCAAGGCTGCAAAGCAAAGCAGCTTGGACCCAACTGCGGTGATCCCTGAACACTGCCCCCCCCCCCATGAGGCCAGTATAGTCCTGGTGCCCGTGTGTCTGGAAACAGGACTGGACAGCCTGACCTGGGGGAGAAGACTCCGCAGCCCAGGTCCAGGAGAGACTGGGTCTGCCCATCACGCCTGCTCCCAGGATCCCCAACCCTGCACTGCCCCTCCCCAGGCCCTTCCAGAGGAAGGAAGGGACCACTTGGCAGCTCCTGACCTCCAGCCTTGAAGTGACCTCGCTGGTCTGCCGCGTGGTAACTACTGTACTGAGCATTGAACATTCAACCAAATTCAGGGAAATGGCTTATTGAGCTTTGAAGCAACTGTGAATTTCATCCTGAGGGGCAGTGGAGACTGAGTGTGACAGCAAGCGTAAAAGCCACCTCCACACCAAGCCTCTCTGGAGAGGTCTGCCATTTCACCCTCATCAACACCCCTCCAGTTTTGCCCGTGAGGTGGGGCAGATGTTCCCAGAGCAGATGACCTCTCCCTATCTCTGCCTTGCCCAGTCGTTACTCTGTCTGTCTCTGTCTCTCTCTCTCTCTTTCTCTCTCTGCTGTTCAGGTAGTTATCTGTTCCTGTCCTTCTCTCAAGTAGCTTTGGTGGTATAGCTGTTAAAGCACTTGGCAGCTAACTAAAAGATTGGCAGTTCAAACTTACCAGCCGCTCCACAGCACAAAGATGAGGCGTTCCGTGATGATTTACATACTTGAAAACCCGGTGGGGCAGTTCTCCTCTGTCCTAAAGAGTCACTATGAGTTGAAATCAACTTGATGGCAGTGGGTTTTGTGTGTGTGTGTGTGTGTGTGTGTGTTCCTTTCCTCCTCATCATCTGCTCTCTCCCTCTCACAGCCCCTCTCCATCTTGTGCCTTAGGTTTTCTGACTCCTTTTCTTTCTGTGTGTGTGTGTGTGTGTGTGTTTGTTTCTCAATGTCTCTGGACATACAAGATGTGGCCCACAGCAACTCTGGTCAGTGTCCAAACCCCAGCACAACTATAGGACAAGCCATCTGCCTTTGCACCATTGTGTTGCCACATCTGAGGGAGCCCCGGTAGAGCCCACCATTCAGGCCACACATGTTGCAGAAGGTGAGGCCTCTGCCTGTCCAAGCACTTCAGTCATCAGCCACATAGGAAACATTCCACTGTAAAAATGCTTTGGGAACATGCCATCAATCAACTGAGAGGGACTAAGGGAGGAAGTGATCTCTCCAGCTCACCCTTCATGTGGACCAAGATTCCTGCTCTGGGCAGGGCCCTACTCAGGCCCCTCACATTCATAGATAACACTGACATTGTTTTTAACCAGTAACTAATTTTCTTTAATGATGTTTTTTACTAATAATACTTACAAGTTTCTAGTTCTCACAAACATATAGATTAAGTGGGGTTTTTGCATAATAAACGGATTGCTATTCAGGTTAGTAATTTTAATTCAGTTTTTTTTTTAGTTGGATAAACAAATTCCTATAACCTTCTATTTCCTATCACTGTATATATTGGCCACACTGGTGCATGGGACGTACTGTATGTTTTGGGTTTTTTTATACCTTAATAAAGAAATATCTTGAAATTTGTCCATGCCTGGGTCATTAAACTAAAGCATCACAGAGCTTAGAGCTTACGTGGAACACACACAGAGACTCATGCCACCACCACCATCGGAGGAACCAAGAGGGTGAGGGGACATTTGCAGTTAAAGTCTCCAACACTCACTACAGGAAAGGGAGTAGAGCAAAAAGTCAAGAGGAATACTAGTCCAGCCCCCTATCCTCCCAGAGCCCTGTGCCTTCCCCCAGCCTCTGTACAGGCACCCCCGCTCCCAACCCCCAAACTGCACAGCAGGCAGGATCTCTAGAAACTGGGGCCACAACACCATTTTCATTTCCAGCATGAAGAACCAGCAGGGTGAGATACATGAGGAATGAGGAAGGAAATCAACCTCCAATTTGGTGGTTGACAACAGCGATTGACCAGCTAACACTTTATTGACGTGCGTGGATCCCAACATGGGAGTCCCGCCCAGAAAACCTCATAATCAAGTGAGAAGACATCTCCTTGCCAGGCCTGGGTCTCAAATTGAGGAGTGGAGGGATGGAGTCTACTTCACCAAGTTCTCTGTTCCTTGACCTCTGCCGTAGGATGTCCTGGGCAGTAGCCCCAGAGAATGATATTTTACAAATGTCTGGATAAACACTGCTGCTTGGAGATTTGGGGTGAATATGTCTCGATTCCAATTTTTATTCTTACTTGTGATTTTTTTTTCCTTTTTTTTTAAGGAATATGTTACTTAATTTCCACGTATTTGTGAATTTTCCAGATTTCCTTCTGCTCTTAATTTCAAAGTTTATTCTTTTGTGGTCAGAGATCACACTTTGTATGATTTCAGTTCTTTTAAATTATTTAAAACTCGTTTCATGGGCTAACATATGGTCTATCCTGGAGAACACTCCATGTGTACTTGAGAAAGAATATGTATTCTGCTAGGGAGAATACAGATGTGTGTTAGATCCAGTTGGTTTATAGTATCATTCAAGTCTTCCATTTCCCTATTGATCTTCTGTCTACTGGTTCTATCCATTGTTGAAAGCAGGGTATTGATGTCTGATTATTTACTAAATTATCTGCTTCTCCCTTCAGTTCTTCAGTTTTTGCTTCATGTATGTTGGGGCTCTGTTGTTAGGGGAATATAGGTTTATAATTGTTATATTTTCTTGATAGATTGACCCTTTTAGTATTATATAAGGTACTTCTTTGTCTCATAACAATTTTTATCTTCAAGTCTATTTTGTCTCATACTAGTATAGTTACTCTAGCTCTCTTTCAGTTAGTGTTTACATGGTATATCTTTTTCCATCCTTTTACTTTCAACTTATTTGTATCTTTGAGTAAGAACTGTGTCTTTTGTAGACCAAATATTGTTCTTTATCCATTCTACCAACCTCTGACTTTTGACTGGTGTGTTTAATCCTTTTACATTTAATGTAATTACCAATAAGGTAGGATTTACACCTGCCATTTTGTATCTGTTTTCTATATGTCTTAGGTAGTTATTGGTTATGTAAAGATGTAATGTGTACAACAATAGCACGAAGGAGACAGAAGGGAAGGGAACTAATAGGAGCAAAGGTTTTGTACACTATTGTTCTGGTTACCTAGTGCTGCTCTGACAGGAATATACCACAAATGGGATGGCCTAAACAAACAGGAGTTTATTCTTACAATTTGGAGGTTTTAAGTCCAAGTTCAAAGTGCCAGGCCCTAGGGGCTGGGTGAAAGCCCCTCAACCTTGGGGTCCAGCTCTGCCTCCTACTCCTGGCCCACTGGAGCTACAGGCATTTCTTCACTCAGACAGCTGTTGACTGCTGAGGCTGAGAAGCCCCAAGGTTGACAAGTAAAAGGCACAGTCCTGATGTTACCAATCCACACAGCAGGCCATTAATTAAAGTCCACTGTAAGTCCAACAACATGGCTACATGCAGGGTCCAAGCGTGCCAAAAGCTAGAGACCATTCTCAAAGCATCTCTTATGTACAGGAAGCAGACGACATACCCAAAGGCAGCTACTCAGCTGCTCCCAGTAGATTCCACCATGGAGTTGATTACCAGTCTCATCTTGGGGAATACTACATCCAGCTGCCCAGCCACTCAACCAGGCCTAGCCAAGTTAACATACAAGCATAACCATCACAACTATTGCAATTAAGTTGGTATGAATCTGAACTATATTGTTTCAAATTAAGACTTTAATTATTGTAATCCCCAGAGTATGTTATTGTGCTGCTGTTTGGTTTGTTTAGTGACTTTCCTGAACTAATTCTGTAAAGTTTGTGTTCTGAACTGGACACTGACATCACTGGTCAGCTAACGACTGCACAGAAATTCCCTTAAATTCCTAGAACCCATATGTCTCTCAGCCTTTGTTGAGGTGCTATGTGTGTGTTAGGCCCACCTTCAACACTCAGGCAGGCAGTTTACAACTCTGCCTTAGCATTCATTTCCTGCTTGCTCACAGCCTCGAGTTCAGCTAGAAATGAGAGCGCAAGACCTTCTGAGGTCTTTACTGGGCATGAGCACAACCCTATGCATGCATGTGGCCTTCCAGAAATATGTCTCGTATGTCAAAGCTTTTCAAAGCCGCTATGGACAGCTCCTTACCTCTTCCTTTTAAGTTTTTTAATCAGCTTCTTGTTGCCCCACCTCTTACCATCACCTCAGCTTCAATGTTAAACAGTTACCATGGATGGTTTTAACAAACACCGCAAGCTCTGAGGCAGGTCAAATAAACAGCCTTGAGACCTCCAGAGAACCACTCACCAAGAAACCAAACTCACTGCCAATGACTCAGTTTTGATTTACAGACACCCCCAATGGGTTTCCAAGGCTATAAATCTTTACAGAAGCAGACGATCTTATCTATCTTCTACGGAGTGGCTGGTGGGTTCAAACCACCAACCTTCTGATTAACAGCCAAATGCCTTAGCCACTACACCACCAGAGCTCCTTAGAGAACCACTAGACTGGTCAAATAATGACACTTACGTAAAAATTGAGTGGTAGGTGAGCTCCAACCCACTCTGCCTCCCCTAGTGTCTGCTAGGCTGTGGGTTTTCACTGATTTTAGGGCTATTGGCTTTCAAGGGTATCATATAGCTGGGAAAAGAGACATGCAACTAGAGCAAGCTAAAATATCACAAA